CCGGCGGCAGAGGCGCGCGGTGGCCGGCGCATACTCCGGCGAAGGGCGACGAGCCGCGGTGCGGGCACGCGCCCGTGGGCGTGCGGTGGCGGCGACCGGGCTCGCGCGGGCCCGATCTGGGCTCCGCGGGCCGACGCAGTGGGAAGGAGAGAGGCGGCGACACATGGCACGAGCTGGTTGGCTCGCGGCGGCGGCGGGGTGACGTGGCACGACGGGATTTGCTGGACTGAGGTGGAGGGCGAAGCGGACATGTTCGGTGTGGAAGAAAAGTGTCCGATGGCGCGAGGATGAAGAAGACTAGGGTTTCGTCCGCGAATTTGGAAGGGTTGCACCTATATATAGGTAGAGGGAGCTAGGAGAGTCCAAATGAGGTGCGGTTTTCGGCCACACGATCGTGATCGAGATGATGGAGGAGGTTTTGGTGGGTTTTGGGCCAAATTGAAGGGGTGTTGGGCTGCAACACACACGAGGCCTTTTTGGTCCCTCGGTTAACCGTTGAGCATCAAACGAAGTCCAAATGGTACAAAACTTGACAGGCGGTCTACGGTAGTAAACCAAGGCCGCTTGGCAAGTCTTGGTCCAATCCGGAAATGTTTAACCCCCACACACGGAAGGAAGATAGAAAAGATCACCGGAGGAGATAGGAGTGTCGGAATGCAAAACAGACAACGGGAAAAATGTTCGGATGCATGAGACGAACATGTATGCAAATGAAATGCACATGATGACATGATATGCAATGCATAACACGCAAGCAATGACAAAGCAACAACAGCGAATAACTGGACGACACCTGGCACATCGGTCTCGGGGCGTTACACCAGGGTTGTAGTACCGTTACAGCACCGGTCCACTACCACCAGGGCCTTGCCGCCTCAGGAGACTTCGGCCATGAACGGCAGCGGAGCTCGAGCCCAAATCCATGGAGACAAGGAGGTCATTACGGATGTAAGACATGATTGAAGCAATTCCAAGGCCGCTTGATAGATGGGGAAGCCCCTCCTCGACGTGATTCGGCCGTGGGGAACTTAAAATAGGCGGATTCGGCCGCCGCCGCCGCGGATCGGGGATGGACAGACGCGGGGGATCCAGCTCCCCTGTTTTTCTCGTTGTGGCTGTTTTGTACAACGGTTGCAACAAAACGTGTTTTTTTGCTGCAACGGTTGGCTCGGTACACACACGCGCGCAGATCTAACGGTTCGCCTAACTGCATCGGACAGTTCGGGCTCGACCGGCCCAACAGTTGGGCCGGTGCGCTGGCGCAGATCGCTGCCCTTTTTATATCCGTATCATGGCATTCTTTTTTAAGGCCTGGTATTTTTTTTACTCCCACTCGGACCTAGGCCTTTTTCAGTCCATTTATGTTTGGCTTCCATACAAAGAGGGGGTTGCGCTGGAAGTATTTCGTAGCAAACGAAAAAAAAATGCCGGCTCCTACCCTCGTGGGCGAACTTCTCGTTCACGCTGGCGTTCCGTGTGGGGAATGTCAGCTAGATATTCAGGTCCGTTTTATTAGATGGTCCCAATGAATAATTATTGGAAGCGATTTATTGAAGATTATGTTAATAATCCTGAAATGTTTGCTCGCATTTGTCAGCTTCTTTCTTCCTTTTCCTTCCTTGCAAGATGGCGTTCCCTGTGACACATGTGGTAAACATCCAAACAACTCAAAAAAAAAAATCGTCAGATAACTTGCCGAAGAATCTATTTTAGGGGGAGCCATGGCACCCATTATCTATCTTAGGGAGGAGCCATGGTCCCAATATCCATCTTAGGTGGTTGGAGTACAGAAGATTGCCAAAGTTGTTTTCCGATGCGGTGGGGCTTAAAGTGATGGTTGGGGCGGCCGCCAGCATGACAGTGGGGAGGGCGGGGCAGCGAGGCAGCGCTAGACGCCTCCACGAGGGCGAAGGCAAACGGTTAGGCCTGGTCTGGCCGGCGGTTACACATGGAAGAAGCTAGAGGTACAAGATGAACAGTGCACGACCCATTTTCAACCGTTGGATGAAAATCTAAGGGTTCTAGTTGAAAGTGACCAATGGACTTTTATTTGCGGGTACCTGATTTATAGTCGGTCCCATAATCCAATTATGCGCGCACCTGCTGTCATCGACTTATATTTTGTACTAGCAAGATGCTCGTGCATTGCACGGAACATCAAGATGTATTTCTTTACAAAACACCTGTTGTGATTAACCCATGCAAGAGTAATCCCATGTATAAAAACTAATGATATCTCGAGAATTTTATCGGAAAAATGGTATCTCGAGAATTTTATCGGAAAGAATGATATCTCGAGAAAGATGAGAGATAAGGTGAGGAGGAGTGGGGCGTGGTGGTGACTGGTGGTCGGACTGGGCGGAGGTATGGGGATGGACGGCAGCAGCCACCATGCCAGATTGTTCCAGAGACTTTTTTTTTAATTGCTCAGCAATGAGGTTGTGAGAGATAAGGATGAATGAGGCAGGGCCTTATCTGTAAATGTGGATAGATGTGCGGATATCTTTTGTAAAATTGTTATAGTTTGATTTCTATCCATCAAATATAGATCGAACGGTCTATATTACAAGATAGTAGGCACATCATTATCATCAACTCGATTTTTTTATAAGAATAAAGATGAGGCAATTTTGCTTTATTTTGCGCCTCCTTGGGCCAAGCAAGTCATGTCATACTAACTAACAACTTACGATGAATGGTTAAGAGAAGATATTTTCATCCGTCAGAGTTTAAGTATTAGACTTGACATTGATATTCGTATTTTCTAAATTTATTTCAAACATTTTAACGATGTGTGTTTAGTGAGTAGGAACTTTTTCATCAACTATAAAAACGTATATGATGATTTTATCATAACGATGTGTGCTTAGTGAAAGGGGACTTTTCCATCTACTACGAAAACATATACGATGACTTATCGATCTCAAAATTATGTACGGATTCAATCTCTGAGATGTGCTCGTAAGGACAGGACGTGCGTGTGCGCTGGGTGTGTGTATGTATAAAAACTGACGCACTCACTGGTCGCAACACCACAAAACAGAATACTTGTACAGCCAAAAGAAAACAAAAACACGAACAGAAAATCACAGCGCGATGGCAAACGACGAGCGCGGCGCCGGCGAGGAGCGGGGAGCGGCGGAGGACAGCATCGTGTGGAGGGAGGAGGCGGGGAAGTTCGAGACGCCCGACGGCGAGGCCTTCCTCCAGTACCGCCTCGTCGTCCAGCCGCGCGCCTCCTCCGTCCGCGGCGGCGCGTCCCCGGCGGCGATGGACATGGTGCACACGTACGTGCCCGGGAGCAAGCGCGGGCAGGGGCTCGCCGCGCGCCTCTGCGACGCCGCCTTTGCCCACGCGCAGCGCCACGGCATGCGCGTCATCCCCGCCTGCTCCTACATCTCGGTACGGTCGCCCCTCTTCCCTTTCCTCTGCCCCGAAGACCAAATCAACTCTTGCTCCGTGAGTTTCTCGGTGGTCAGCGCTAAATGATATATCTGCCCCAGAAAATGAAAACGGAGTCGTGATTGATTTCTCGGTAGCGATAAGCTAAATAGAAATACTGATTGTGACTGTTCTCGCGTAGACTCGCGATTCAAGATTTAGGGGATTTGATTGAACTTCTTCAGGTCAGCATTTTTATCTGGGCCGTAACTTCAGCTGCAGCTTGGCTATGTCTACATGAACATTCTTTTCGAAGATCTCCATTTTCGAGCTAATAGTTCTTCAGCTCGTCGCAAAACAAGTTGTTGAACTGCTTGGGAACTGCAATCGTCTCAACATTTTTATTCTTCAGCTGTTGCTGACCCTGATGCCTGTTCCCTGAACTGCAGGACACGTACCTCCCTCGCAATCCGGCGTGGAACGAACTTGTCTACAAGGCTGACGAGCCCAAACACAGCAGCACCAGCAGTAGCATGTAGTAGAACAAGTAAATCGTGTGCTCACCTCAAAAGCTGTGGGTGTGCTCAGCTGCTATGTTAGTGTATCACTGAATAATCAGTTGCCCGGTTGATCAACCATGGCGACGCGCCCCTTGTAAGCCCTACATCGCTGCGATTATTGAGCTTAAGATTCATGGCATTCATGTAAAAGCATCGAGCAGTCGATGTGGAACGCGAAACAGGTCTTCGTTTTCATCCGTGTAGAACATTGATGCGGAACGCGAAACAGGTCTTCGTTTTCATCCGTGTACAAGCATCGGTAGACCGGAAACACATATTCGGTGGATGTTTTCATGGTTCAGGCCCAAGTTTCATGATATTTTCGATGGACAACCACACACACATATATTCAGCGGCGAAATAGTGTTCAGATTCACACGAGAATTATGCAATACTACAAGGGATACATGTAATTATGCATAACTTTGTAGAGACACCCTGATATCATTTGCCAGACTTGAGAATTGTGGAATGCTGCGAATGATAACCATAATTATACATAACTCGGTTGTTACACAAGGGTGCCTCCACCCGTTTGGATATGGTGTTTATTTTCTGGCCCACTTTATACCAGCAACATACATAGCATATAGTATAATACAACATGCCTTCAACCCGAGAAGGAAACAAGACAAGTACTGTGTATGTACATATCGTTCCAACATGAACACGGTATGGAACGAAATAAGCCGGTCCTCTCCATCCGCATCATAATATCAGCCTGTGATGAGATTATCGACCATCTCCATTACCCGTCGTGGTGGTTGCCTTTAGGAGGTGCTGCTCACCCAGGGACAAAGTAATCCATCTTCTCCACCGGCAGGTTTAGCACTGAAGTATCAGCCTGAAAAATGCAAGTCTTAAGTTAGTTATATTCACTATGCCTGGCATAGAAATTCAGATCACACAAGGTCCAGCTAGCCGCTCCAGTGCCAAATGAATAACATAATACACACTTAGTCGTAGATCATATCGCATACCTCCTCAAATGGAACAAACACAAAGGGAGTCAAACCCCTGCTGTGGGAAACAGCAGGCACGTCTGGGTCGTGCGTCTCGTTCTCCTCCCAGTCCTCAACAAGTTCAAGTATGTTGCCTTTCCAGTTTCCCAGTTCGGTTCCATTCACCCCGGTGGTTAGGATCTTTAAGACATCCAACCTGTTATTTGCACCAATTGTAGTGCCTCTAACCCTGCAGAATGTTAGTGCAAAATTAGGTAAGGCGGTAAGTACCAACACCAATAAAGAAATTCAAGTCAAAATACCTAAAGACCCATAGAGAAATTCAAGTCAAAATACCTAAGGCGCATCCTAACAAGTGTGTACCGATGTCCAGGATATAGGAGTGCCATTTCTATCTGCATGCAAGAAAGAGAAGCTAATGTTAGCAAGTGATGGACACTGGACAGTGCCCAAGAATGGATAGACAGTCCTCAATTTTTCACCTGGCCATCCCCTGACAGTGTATAGTCGCCTTTAAACACACTATCGCCTTTTGATGCTCGGAGATGCATGCACTTGACAACATCTTTAACTTTCTGTGGGGAAATCTGCTCATCGCAGGAAAGCAGAACATCAAATGATGTTTCACAAACAATAATCATATTGTTCACCAAAAAAAAGGTTCAAATAGGAACCTTGTACAGGAACTTCCCGGTTGGAAAAAATCTCAAGTAACGGTAGTAGCAAACCTGAAGTCAAAAGAAAAATATTAGTAATGAAACTAACTTGGAAACGATAGGAAAAATCAATAATATAACCTACTGAACAGAGTATGTAGAGGCAAAATGTCTTAAAATAGACAATAATTCCTTGAGATAAACAGAGAGTAACACCATACCACATTGACAGTTTTCTTGAACTGCCATTCTGTAATTCCAGTATGAATATATGTGTTTCTACTAACATAAAGACCTGGAGAAGCAGCAAGTATCAAACATCAATGCAAAGATAACACAGCTAGAATAACAAATGCTCTAGCAAACACATAAATAACAAGACATTAAGGAAATTGAAGCAACGCCTTTCAGCTGGTCTTTGGTGAAGTATTTACCAGGAAACTGCAACCATCTATGCAATAGGATAAGTTCATAGTGAAATCAACACTAACACGTAATAACCTAAATGATGAAGAAGAGTGGGAGCACTGACCACTATCAACAACCTAATATACCTTTAATAGCATGCTCACTAGAGGCCATACTAACATATCTATGTTGTACTTGAAATTATGTCATTAAGCCCCACAGCTCAAGTGTGTAAAGAAAAAAAAGGAGTTAGATATAGTGCTCTGTTATGACCGGGGTAACTTATACCCGCAGGAGGCCCACTGGGCAGGTTTAGTTAGGGGCTTAGCCCACAAGTTATCTTATTTTTATTAGCATCGTGGTTATATAAACAAGCTGTAAGACTCTTTTGGAGATCAAGCAATAAGACAATTCTATTGCCCGGCTCCCGAGGAGCCGGAAACCCTAAACCCTAGCCGCCTCCTGTCACCGCCGCCGCCTCCTCCCACGCGCACGACGGCTCCCAGCCGCCGGCAGCCGCGTGCTCGTCCACGTCCAACTCCCTCTTTCCCCTACAACCTCTGGCCTAGACCCGGTAGAACCCCAGCTCCTACCACCTTGGTATCAGTTAGCTCAGCACCGCGCCGCTGCCCTCTCCATCCACGCCGCTGGTCCCCACCTCCGGCGCACCCACCGCCCAGATGCCGGCTCCCTCCACCGCGCCGCCCGCCGCCATCTACACCCCGGAGGACGTCACCGGGGTCCTCCACGACCTCATCACAGCAGTCCAGGGGATCTGGCTGTACTTGGCCAGCCCCTGCGGGCCGCCGCCGGCCCTGCTGTGGTACTCGCCGCACGCGGCGGCTTCCGCGGCGTTCGTTGGGCCGCTACAGCCCCAGCTGCAGCTGCAGCCGCCGCCCGCCACCACCCCGCAGTGGCCGCAATGGCCGTTGCCGGCCCTCGCGGCACCCCCCGCGCCGCTCACGCCCATGCAGCAGCCGCTGCCGCTGCAGGCCCCTCCGCCGCCAGCACCGGGCCGGCTCCGACCACGCCGGGAGGTGTTCCGATCCAGCAGGTCCGCTTCCCACCGTCGCCATCACCGCTCCCGGCCTGGCTGTCCGAGTCATCGCTGCAGCCGGTCTACACTACAGCCAGGGACCAGCCGACGCCCACCCTACCGTACAGCGATCCGTCCGGCTCCGCGGGTCCCTACACGGGCCGCGCCGACCCGCTGTTCCACAGGGTACCCCCGGTCCCCACCGACCACGCCACCATCCTCGCTGCTCCGCACCACCGAGCCGTTCGGCCATGGTGGTCATACCTAGACGCCGCCACAATTCGCCAAGATCGACTTCGCCACCTACGACGGTACTGAGGACCCCCTCAACTGGCTCAACCAGCGCGAGCAGTTCTTCCGCGGGCAACGCACACTTGCGTCGGACCGCACCTGGCTCGCCTCTTATCATCTCCGGGGCGCCGCACAGACGTGGTATTACGCCCTCGAGCAGGATGAGGGCGGCATGCCCCCTTGGGAGCGTTTTCGCGAGCTATGCCTCCTTCGCTTCGGGCCGCCGATCTGCGGGAGCCGACTGGCGGAGCTCGGCCGCCTTCCCTTCACCTCCACGGTGCAGGACTTCGCCGACCGTTTCCAGGCCCTGGCATGCCACGCGCCGGGTGTGATGGCGCAGCAGCGAGCCGAGCTCTTCCTCGGCGGTCTTTCGGATCACATCCGCGTGGACGTGGAGCTGCGGGGACCCCAGGACCTCCAGACGGTCATGTACTACGCTCGCGCCTTCGAACGTCGCGCGCATGCCTTGCAGTAGGCGAAACAGACTCACGGTGGCCGACAGGCCGCCAGACCGCCCCCGACAGCACCTGTGCCGGGCCGGATGCCCCCGGCCGCTCCAGCGGCGACTGCTCCGGCCGCGACGCAGCCCTTCCGTCGGCTCTCTCAGGCCAAGCAGCTCAAGCGACGTCGCCAGGGGCTTTGCTATAACTGCGATGAGCCCTACGTGTCGGGCCATGTCTGCTCGCGCCTCTTCTACTTGGAGACGGCCGACTACGTCGAGGAGGACACACCCACCGACGGGCTCGGCGAGTTGCCGCCACCAGTTGCTGCAGAGGCCGCCCCCACGCCCGCTCCAGCGACGGCGCTCGTGGTCTCGCTCCATGCGCTTGCCGGCATCCGCGATGAGCGAACTATGCTTTTGCCGGTGACGATTCACGGCGAGCGCCTGGTGGCCCTCCTGGATACGGGCTCCACGCATAACTTCCTGCCCGAGGCTACCATGCGCCGCTTAGCACTTTAGTCGATGGGCGGGGAGCAACTTCGGGTCACGGTGGCTAACGGCGACCGCCTCCGATGCCATGTGCTGGCGCGGAACGTGCCCATCACCATCGGCGACGAGCACTTCACCGTCACATGCGCCGGCATCGACTTGGGCTGCTTCGACTTCATCCTTGGCGTCGACTTCTTGCGGACTCTCGGTCCCATCCTCTGGGACTTCGACGCCCTGACGATGACCTTCTGGCGTCTAGGCCGCCGCGTCCAGTGGGAGGACATTGGGGGCGCCTCACCAGCGATGCCAAAACTTCAGCTGGCCGCGATCGCCACCGAGCCCGAGCACCCATTGTTGGATCACCTCCTGCAGCAACACGACGACCTCTTCGACGAGCCTCAGGGCCTTCCGCCAGCACCCCTACCGCTACCCCCAGCTGTAGAAGGACGAGCTGGAGCACCACATTCATCTCCTGCCGGGCACGGCACCGGTTGTAGTGCAGCCCTACCGCTACCCCCAGCTGCAGAAGGACGAGCTGGAGCGGCAGTGCGCGCTCATGCTCGCCTTGGGCATCATCCGGATCTCCACGTCGCCGTTTTCAGCGCCGGTCCTCCTCGTCCGCAAGTCGGACGGAACGTGGCACTTCTGCATCGACTACCGCGCCCTTAATGCCATGACGCTCAAGGACAAGTTTCCTATTCCGGTGGTCGACGAGCTCCTAGACGAGCTACATGGGGCGCGCTCCACCAGGTGCGGATGCACCCGGATGATGTCGCCAAGACGGCGTTTCAGACTCATCATGGCCACTTTGAGTTCTTGGTGATGCCTTTTGGCCTCTCCAACGCCCCGGCGACCTTCCAGGCTTTGATGAACGACGTCCTCTGCCCCTACTTGCGTCGGTTTGTGCTCATTTTCTTTGATGATATTCTTATCTACAGTGCCTCGTGGGCGGAGCACCTTCAGCACGTCGCCATCGTCTTCAACGAGCTTCAAGCGCACCATCTTCATCTTAAGCGCTCGAAGTGCTCGTTCGGGACGCCTTCAGTCGCCTACCTCGGCCACGTCATCTCGGCCGAGGGGGTTGCTATGGACGCCGACAAGGTGGCGGCTGTCGCGGCCTGGCCAACCCCGCACTCACCGCGGGCTCTTCGTGGCTTCCTGGGCCTCGTGGGGTACTATCAGAAGTTCATCCGGGAGTTCAGCCTCATCGCGTCCCCGCTCACGCGCCTGCTGCGTCGCGACGCCTTTGCCTGGGATGCGGAGGCGACAGCGGCATTCGAGGCTCTTAAGGGGGCCCTCACGACGGGTCCCGTTCTTCAGATGTCACCGCCCGTTCGTCGTGGACTGCGACGCCTCCGGTGTGGGGTTCGGCGTTGTCCTTCATCAGGGCGATGGACCTCTCGCATTCTTCAGCATGCCCTTCGCCGTGCGCCATCTTAAGCTCACGACAACTCATTGGCTTGGTGCAGGCGATGCGCCATTGGCGGCCCTATCTTTGGGGTCGGTCGTTCTAGATTCGCACGGATCACTACAACCTCAAGTTCTTATTGGACCAGAGGTTGTCTACCGTGCCGCAGCGTCAGTGGATCAGCAAGCTCTTTGGCTTCGACTTCAGCGTCGAGTATTGTCCGGGTCGCCTTAACACCGTGGCCGACGCCCTGTCTCGCCGCGACGCCGACCACGACGCCGCCGTCGACGACTCTGAGGGGACGGCGCTCTGCATCCGCTCGGGGCCCTCTTTCGCCCTCCTCACCGACATCTGTCGGGCCACCGCGGCCGCGCCGGACGCCCTGCTCCTTCAGCAGCGGCTTGCTGCGGGCGACCTGGAGGAGCCGTGGCGCCTCGCAGATGGCTTGCTCCTGCATGGGCACCGTATCTTCGTGCCGGAGCACGACGACCTCCGTCACCAAGTTCTGCTGCTGGCCCACTCGGCCGGCCACAAGGGTGTGCAGAAAACCCTCCATCGTCTCCGCGCCGACTTCTATATCCCCGGTGATCGGGCCCTGGTCCGGGACTGGGTGCGGTCTTGTGTGACGTGCGAGCGCAACAAGACGGAGACACTACGGCCGGCTGGTCTGCTACAGCCCTTGGAGGTGTCGTCTTAGGTCTGGGCTGATATCTCCATGGACTTCATCGAGGGCCTTCCCAAGGTGGGCGGCAAGTCCGTCATCCTCAGGGTGGTCGACCGCTTCTCCAAGCATGCTCACTTCATCGCGCTCGGCCATCCCTACACTGCCGGGTCCGTGGCCCGTGCCTTCTTCGACGGCATCGTCCGCCTCCACGGGTTTCCCTCTTCGATCGTCAGCGATCGGGACCCGATGTTCACGAGGCATGTCTGGCGCGATCTCTTTCGGATGGCGGGCGTGAAGCTCCACCTGAGCACGGCCTTCCACCCTCAGACGGACGGCCAATCCGAGGTCGTCAACAAGGTGATTGCCATGTATTTGCGTTGTGTCACAGGTGATCGTCCTCGTGCTTGGGTGGATTGGCTCACGTGGGCGGAGTACTGCTACAACACCTCCTATCACTCCGCCCTGCGCGCCACGCCATTCGAGGTGGTCTACGGCCGACCGCCCCCGCCCATCCTGCCGGTTGACCCGGCGACGGCTCGGACGGAGGCGGCGGGCGATCTTCTCAACCGCGACGAGATGCTTGCGAAGGTACGGCAACGCCTCATTCAGGCCTAGCAGTTGGCCAAGCACTACTACGACGGCCACCATCGCGAGGCAGAGTTCACGGTGGGCGATTGGGTGTGGCTGCGTCTTCTTCACCTCTCTACGCAGTCCCTGGACCCACGCGCGAAGCGCAAGCTGGGCCCTCGCTACGCCGGGCCCTTTGCTGTCTTGGAGCGCATCGGGAAGGTGGCCTACCGCCTTCAGCTTCCGGCCGGTGCTCGCATCCACGACGTCTTCCATGTGGGGCTGTTGAAGCCCTTCCGTGGGGAGCCACCGGCGACCACCCCCGCGCTTCCTCCGACCTCCGACGGGCGCCTCCTTCCAGGACCAAAGAAGGTGTTGCAGGCCCAGCTACGTCGCGGGGTGTGGTACTTGTTGATCCAGTGGGCTGGCCTTCTAGAGGAGGAGGCTACTTGGGAGCAGCGCGACGAGTTCCGCCAACACTACCCAGACTTCCAGCTTGAGGACGAGTTGTTTGCGCAGGCGAGGAGAGATGTTATGACCGGGGTAACTTATACCCGCAGGAGGCCCACTGGGCAGGTTTAGTTAGGGGCTTAGCCCACAAGTTATCTTTTTTTTATTAGCATCGTGGTTATTAAACAAGATGTAAGACTCTTTTGGAGATTAAGCAATAAGACAATTCTATTGCCGGGCTCCCAGAGGAGCCGGAAACCCTAAACCCTAGCCGCCTCCTATCACCGCCGCCGCCTCCTCCCACGCGCACGACGGCGCCCAGCCGCCGGCAGCCGCGTGCTCGTCCACGTCCAACTCCCTCTTTCCCCTACAACCTCCGGCGTAGACCCGGTAGAACCCTAGCTCCTACCATGCTCTGAATCTAAATAGCACTTTATAAAAATTTCCTATTTATTGCACAATAACTGACACACAAAGATCTAGAAAGAACTTCCACAAATCCTACTTGGTTTTCATGGTGACCCAAGTTACTGAAATAAGAAATAATTGGAATTTCCTAGGCCACATCTGGTCAGGTTGAACAGATTAAAAAAACAACGATATTAACCTTCAAAGCAATTTTCCTGTTCAAATCAATGTGATTCTACAATGCACCATATCATATAATCGAATGCAGAACTGCTACTTGATATTTACCATCAATTCGGATTCTTGGTCTCTGCACCCACATTTTTCTCCAGGAAGAATCATATAACGACTGCACCATCCTGAAGTTTGCCTCTATTCCATTCCTCTTTATATAAAAAAGTCAGGTGTTTGAGAAACACGACGAGTGTGAAAACCAAATACTAAAAATATATATGCATAGTAACCTGCCAGGTTTTCAGGCAAGCGTTCCGCCAAAAAGTAGGATTGCGTGTAGTATATTTCCACTTGCGGCAGACACAAGCAGCCCTCCCTAAAGTATATGGGCTCATTCTCCCAAATATCTGTTGAGAATATTGCCACAAAATAGTTAAGCAAAGCATTATGACATTGATTACCATAATCTTGCCACAAAGCTCATAAGCGAAGCAATATGGATTAACTACTGTGATCTAATATTATCAAAAATAATCTCGCACTGATGTCATGATGGAATGAGGCACCAAGTGATATTAAATTGTGTTCATGCCAATATGTTGTGATATGCTGACTTGTAAAGTAATATTCACTCAAGAGAAAAGACAGTACAGGTACTTTCTCGATGCCCAGGATATACTTACCTTTCTTTTGTACTTATTTCGAAAATTGACATGGTCTTGAATAAAATCATTTGACTGGTACTTTTTCTAAGTATATCTTAGCAAAAAGAAAAACAGTACAGGTACTTTTGATGCCAAATCCATTTATATCATTACCATGTTACAAATCTAACAGTTATGCTTATCTTAGTGGTCTGAATTTTAAAAGGTCGACCGCACACATTTTCAAACAATACCTATTTGAGAACAGGTGCGGTACACAATTAAAACCCAGTTAATGATTTAGCAAAATATTTAAACTGCATGCATCAAAATTCAAAAGGATAATAAATGGTGTCATTTAGCCCATACAAATAGGTAATCATCACCTCGATAAGCAGTTCATCAGGTAAGCACTGGTGAATGAGTGCCAGATCGGGCGTACTGCTCAAACTGTTGAACGGTGACACGGGTGGAACTCTTATTCCATATAGTTCTGTGAACAAAATCAACAGCAGAACACAGAAAGCTCGTAAATCTTCCATTATGCTAAAGCTAATGGCCATGTCATTGACCAATGCAAATGAGAGTAGGGCCAAGCAACCACTTAATGTTGTACTTACTCAACCATGGTCTATCTGTTGAAATATATCCCGTGCTTCTTAGATGATCAAATGAGTTAAACTCTGGGCGAATATCAAAGGAGATATCTGCATGAGAAGAAAACGATGTATCACACAAATTTTCCAAAGTGATGACTTATCCAAAATTCTGCAACAAAAATAAAGAAACCTCCAGCCATTAGACACACAGGATCAACAGCACAGAAACCCAATCCTCCAACCTAAGCAACCCTAAACGAATTTGTCGGGTGCACGCCCAGCTCGGCAAGTTTAGCGCCGAGGGGCAGCAGCGCTTCACAGATACTATCACATACCGAATCTAATGGTGGGTTGCCTAGGGGCACTGGGGTGAGAGGGAAGAGGCGGATTCGCTCGGGTATAGGAGGAGAGGGGCTGGGCCAATGTCAGGGCCTCTTCCTGGCCCCGAGGCGCCGGCGCTCGTGATTGCGGCGGCCTCCCGCGCGCGGAGGAGGAGGGGGAATCCGACACGTCGTACTGAACAACGAATACGGCTGATCTCTTCCGAAGACAAACGAGGTAGAGTAACAAAAATTCTCCGCGTAAGCCCACGAATTCGAATGGAATGAGCGAATGAATACCTGGGGAAGCCATGGGGAGCCGGAAATTCGGAGGAATCGGAGCGGGGAATGGTGTTGGCGGGCGCGCGGGCGTTGGAGAGGGGACGACGAACAGAGGGGGAGGCTCGTGGCCTCCGGAGGGAGAGCTCGTGTCTCTCTTCTCCTGCTGCAATATTTACAGCCACGGAAATTTGTTTCTCGGAACTACTATAATCAGCGTGGTGCACCCGGTCGGTTCCTCCCTTTTTTTTGTAAGAAGATGACGTGTTATGATAACTTAGCCTATCTATTTAGGACCTCTTTAATTTGTACTATGAATTTCAAGATATTGCAAAGCCATGTGTTATATGTGCCTTGTGTAGGATTTTCATTTGTTCAATTTGCATCACATGAAAAACAAAATTTATATCATGTCCGGTGGTATAGGGAACTCGATGCAATTTCTATTATGTTCGAGGTGCTTGTACTTCTCATGAACTTTTATAATAAACTCGGATCCTTTTCGGAAAAAAAAAGTGCATCGCATGAAAACACAAATAGTTTTTCCAAGAGATCAGAGTCCATGCAAAAATTTGCAAATGAATCCTTAGGAGAAATTCTCATGAGATTAACTCGTACAAATCAAGTGCGTGGCATATTTTTTTAAGGATGTCAATCCTTCGAGTTTTTATAAAATATTTTAATCAAAGAAGCTCTTACTAGTACGAAACTTAACCTTCATTTATAAATACCCAAATGATAAGTGACACACGCGTGACACGAAGCACTCCAGTCCTAACCTTTTTTATAACTAAAGTTGCCATCTAAAAAACTGAAACTTACCATCCGAAAAAAAAAGTTCCATGTTTGACAACTAAAGTTGGCATCCTCGCATCACTAAACTTGCCATAAAGACGTTCGAAGTTGCCATGTGTTCGTGCCACACGTGTGGCACTTATCGGGATCCTATAAATATAAATAGGTATTGTGTACGATCTCCGTAGCAAACATTTTGTTTGTCGAAGAATCATATTTTTTGTGTTTGTATTGAATCAAACGATTTGTTAAAAAGTAGCATGCTCCACACTAGGTATCCTCCATCCGCTAATACAAGGCCACTTTTGTTTTCCGTGCCAAACTTTGACTTATACTTTTGGTCAACAAAATATGGGTTATATGTCATCAAAATTATATTATCAAAAATTGATTGAAATGTGCATTAAATGACATACTTTTTTTGACATATAACTCACATTTTATTGATAAAATTGATGGTTAAAGTTAGTCAAAAAAAATAAAGTGGCCTTTTATTAGTATATGGAGGGACTAGATGTTATAGTACTCCACACTTCCATGATGAAAGTAAAAATTCTAAAACTGGATTATAGTGTGCTTTGAACTTTTAGTTTGCCTATATGATGACTGCATTCTTAACTAGATATGGGATAAATGACATATTTTAGTTCTTACATTTGAATTTCATTCTCATGACCAAGCTGGCATTTTTCATGGCTAAAATATCCTAGCACCTACTACTCATTCTGATTATCCAACTATTTCAAAATTATTAATACAACAGTTACAAAACTAAACTAAAAATCTAGTTCACTGTTCACTGAAAAATTAAGTTACATCAGAGAGAAAGAGAGAGAACGCTTACATGCTCACTCTCTTCTTCTGTAATGCATCGCGGTAGCTCCCCGTCCTATGACGAGGTTCTGTAAAAAAATCCAATCTCGTTTGCAAGAATTTGAAAACATAGAAATACAAAAATGCGAGAATGAGACGTCATGTACCATGGAATCTTACAAGATTTCAATGAAGGAAATATGCCCTAGAGGCAATAATAAAGTTGTTATTTATATTTTCTTATATCATGATAAATGTTTATTATTCATGCTATAATTGTATTAACCGGAAACTTAGTACATGTGTGAATACATAGACAAACAGAGTGTCACTAGTTTGCCTCTACTTGACTAGCTCGTTGAATCAATGATGGTTATGTTTCCTAACCATAGACATGAGTTGTCATTTGATTAACGGGATCACATCATTAGAGAATGATGTGAGATTGACTTGACCCATCCGTTAGCTTAGCACGATGATCGTTTAGTTTGTTGCTATTGCTTTCTCCATAACTATACATGTTCCTATGACTATGAGATCATGCAACTCCCGAATACCGGAGGAGCACTTTGTGTGCTACCAAACGTCACAACATAATTGGGTGATTATAAAGGTGCTCTATAGGTGTCTCCGATGGTGTTTGTTGAGTTGGCATGGATCAAGATTAGGATTTGTCACTCCGATTGTCGGAGAGGTATCTCTGGACCCTCTTGGTAATGTACATCACAATAAGCCTTGCAAGAAATGTAGCTAATGAGTTAGTTACGGGATGTAGCATTACGGAACGAGTAAAGAGACTTGCCGGTAACTAGATTGAACTAGGTATTGAGATATCGACGATCGAATCTCGGGCAACTAACATACCGATGACAAAGGGAACAATGTATGTTGTTATGAGGTTCGACCAATAAAGATCTTCGTAGAATATGTAGGAGCCAATATGGGCATCTAGGTTCCGCTATTGGTTATTGACCAGAGAGGTGTCTCAGTCATGTCTACATAGTTCTCGAACCAGTAGGGTCCGCACGCTTAACGTTCGTTGACGGTATAGTGCTATATGAGTTATGTATGTTGATGACCGAATGTTGTTCGGAGTTCGGGATGAGATCACGGACATGACGAGGAACTTCGGAATGGTCCGAATATAAAGATTGATATATGGGATAATAGTGTTTGGTCTCTGGAAGAGTTCCAGAATTCACCAGAAAGGGTTTCGGATGTATCCCGAAATGTTTGGGTACGAGAACACTTTATTTGGGCCAAAGGGGAAAGCCCACAAGGTTTTTGGAAAGATCAAAAGGAAGTTTTGCGGAGTCCAGGGGCCAGACGCCGGGAACCCTGGCATCTGGTCCTGGAGTTCGAGAAGGACTCTTGCCTTTCGGGTGAAACCGACTTTGTGTAGGCTTTTACTCCAAGTTTCGACCCCAAGGCTCAACATATAAATAGAGGGGTAGGGCTAGCACCCAAGAGACATCAAGAAACACGAAGCCGTGTGCCGGCAACCCCATCCCCTCTAGTTTATCCTCCATCATAGTTTTCATAGTGCTTAGGCGAAGCCGTGTGAAGATTGTTCTTCACCAACACCGTCACCACGCCATCGTGCTGCCAGAACTCATCTACTACTTCGCCCATCTTACTGGATCAAGAAGGCGAGGACGTCATCGAGTTGAACGTGTGTTGAACGCGGAGGTGCCGTATGTTCGGTACTTGATCGGGATGGATCGTGAAGGTGTATTGTCGGTGTCAAAACCGGCGGATCTCGGGTAGGGGGTCCCGAACTGTGCGTCTAAGGCGGATGGTAACAGGAGGCAGGGGACACGATGTTTTACCCAGGTTCGGGCCCTCTTGATGGAGGTAAAACCCTACGTCCTGCTTGATTAACATTGATGATATGGGTAGTACAAGAGTAGATCTACCACGAGATCAGAGAGGCTAAACCCTAGAAGCTAGCCTATGGTATGATTATATGTTGTCCTACGGACTAAAACCCTTCGGTTTATATAGACACCGGAGGGGGCTAGGGTTACACAAGGTCGGTTACAAAGGAGGAGATATACATACCCGTATTTCCTAGATTGCCTCCTACGCCAAGTAGAGTCCCATCCGGACACGAGACGAAGTCTTCAATCTTGTATCTTCATAGTCCAACAGTCCGGCCAAAGGATATAATCCGGCTGTCCGAAGACCCCCTAATCCAGGACTCCCTCAGTAGCCCCTGAACCAGGCTTTCAATGACGATGAGTCCGGCGCGCAGTATTGTCTTCGGCATTGCAAGGCAGGTTCCTCCTCTGAATACACCACGGAAGAATTTGAATACAAGAATAGTGTCTGACCCTGCAAAATAAGTTCCACATACCACCGTAGAGAGAATAATATTTCCACAAATCCAATTTGCTGACTTGTTTTGGCAACACGACATTATGCCATGGCCCGGTGATTATTCAAACCGTATCCTTTAACTAGCCCCACACATAACGCGAGGCAGTTTTTTGACACGTCTTGTCAAAGCAGAGATCGTGTCCCTTATCATGGGATTCTCATCAATACGGGCGTGGGTAACCCAACCGCGCCATCAATTACGACGCTTGGGGGATAAGCGAGTTTTACCAGGCTAGTGGGGGCGCATAGTTTCGGCCGCCCATATAAAGGGATAAGGATTCACCTTTTCATCCACGCCTTCCTCCTCCTTTGCTCATCCATTTTCGCACACTCGAGCTCCAGCGCCCAAGTCCGCATTTCCCACCTCAACCTTCTCCAACCATGTCCGGAGCGGGAGGCACGTGGATGGTCTCCTCCGTCACGGAGGGACACATCAAGAAGCTGAGGAGAGCCGGATACCTGCCCAACGACATCGTGCATCGGCTCCCAGATGAGGGGCAGCTCATCCCCACCCCCAGACCCCATGAGAGGGTAGTGTTCCTTACCCATTTCCTCCGCGGACTGGGATTCCCTCTCCACCCATTCGTCCGGGGGCTCATGTTTACTACGGCCTAGATTTCCACGATCTGGCCCCGAACTTCATCCTCAACATCTTCGTGTTTATCGTCATGTGCGAGGCCTTCCTCCGCATCAAGCCCCACTTCGGCTTATGGCTGAAGACCTTCAATGTCAAGCCGAAGGTTGTGAGCATCCGCCAGGCGGAGTGCGGAGGCGCCATGGTGGACAAGATGCCCAACGTCACATGGCTCGAGGGCTCCTTCGTGGAGACCATAAAGGGGTGGCAATCGGGGTGGTTCTACATCACCGAGCCGCGTGACCCTGCATGGGCAGCGGCCCTCGAGTTCCGATCTGGCATCCCCACTCGGCTCACCTCTTGGCAAGAGAAGGGCCTGTCCTGGGGTAGTTCGGGAGAGCTGACCGGACTCCAAACATGTATCCAAAACATGGTGAACAAGAAGCTCAAACTCGTCAACATAGTCCAGGTCA